TATATATATGTATGTATAAGCATACAATAGAACGAGGAAGGCTTAACTTCCAGCCTGGCTGCACGTCTTCATTCACTTTTTATATGAACTTATATATATATATATATATATATATATTATATCAATATGAGAATAACCATTCGGCCGCCCACTTTGCAAAACTTCCTAAAGCACCAGCTCTAAACATTCGGCCGCCATTTATATATCTCTATATTATATATAATTAAAACAATCAGTTTTAAAGCCAAAAGTCCCTCAGCCCAATTTGCGACATTTCAAATACCTCCAGCCGCAACTCCGCAAGGCTCTAACACTTCCAGATTTCGACCGCCAAAACCACTGGTCTCCAGCCCAAAAGATTCAGTCGCAACAACCACTCAATACTCGGCCGAGATCTCCACACAATCCCGCCCGCGAACTCCTCCAATCCCGGCCGAGATCTCCAAAGAGGGGATGCGATTAATGATAAATACAGAAGTGTGAATAGATTCCCCCCAAAAATGACTAGGAACAGATGAGGAAATCAGTAAAGATCTAGCCGTTTCTATAATATGTCGGTGTTTACGTTCTACAATACCGTTTTGTTGTGGTGTTTTGGGACAAGAAAGTTGTGAAGTAGTTCCTTGGGATTTTAGATAATCAAGAAAAGAAGTAGAGATATATACCCTACCGGAATCAGAACGAAACACTTTGATGGTTTTGGAGAACTGAGTTTGAATCATGGTGCTAAACTCGATATAAATCTTAAGAAAATCTGAACGAGAACGTAATAAATATATCCAGGTGTAGCGAGAGTGATCATCTACAAATAAAACATAATATAAAGCACCTCCCATGGAGGAAATTGGAGCTTTACCCCAAATATCAGAATGTACAAGGTCAAAGGGAGCGGAGGAAGATGTTGTACTATTATTAAAAGGAAGAGCAGGTTGTTTTGCCAATCTACAAGTGACACAACAAGGTTCTTTGTCAATTTTAGATTGATCCAACAACCTTTTATTGAACATATAGCGAATACGAGAAAATGAAATATGGCCTAGACGTGAGTGCCAAGACATGAACGGTGTACAAGTAGGTGTAGAGGCAACAAAGAGCGATGTGATGGGTGAGCAAGGAATGTGAAGCTTGTCTACCGCATATATTCGACCAACTCTACGGCCGGTCTCAATCTGCTTCTTCGTCAAGTGATCTTGAATTATACAACCAGAGGAAGAAAAGATAACATTAAGCCCAAGATCACATAGTTGTTTGATAGATAACAAATTCATGGACAATTTAGGGATTAAGAATACGTCTGGAAGTAACAAAGCATCAGTTATTTTAATATAACCAATATGACTAGCTGTAACAGGTGATCCATCTGCAGTATGAATTATTGGTGATGAAGTAATAGGTGTAGAGTGGTGAAAAGATGAGGGATCATATGTCATATGATTTGATGCACATGAGTCCAAAAAACATTATGTTTAATATTTACCTGATGGTACAGAAAAAGCATATGCAACCTTAGAATTATTACTGACATTGTTTTTCATATTAAGAGCTTGATGAATCATCTCTTGGATATCTGCTGCAGTTGGTGTAGTGGATTGAGCAGTGATGTTTCTGCCATCATATGGAACAGAGGCTGCTATAGACGATACAGTAGTAGTTGAGCTTTTCTTCTGCCTCATATAGCGAGAGTTGGGATGAGGACAGAAGCTGACCTTGTGTCCATACTCTTTGCAATAACGCCATTGAATTTGAGATAAATCACGTTGGGGTATATCTGGATTTCCTTTATGAAAAGTATTATAGGAGCGAGGGGCAACAAATACTGAGTTTATGTCAAGATTAATGCCATTTCTTGTATCTTCTGTGAGGAGCTTGGTCATGGCAGTATCTATTGTTGGGAGAGGTGACTCATGTAAAATTGATGCTCTTACAGATTCAAACTCATCTCGAAGTGCCATCAAGAGCTGTACCAGTCTTGTTTCCTCACGATAGGTATCCCACAAAGGTGCATCTACGGTCCATTGAGGTTCTGTGAGTGCCAATTGATCCCATATGACAGACATTTCGGAATGGAAATCTGAAATGGATTGTCCCTTTTGCAGTTTAAGAGATCGTATGTCCCCTTCCAATTTGTATATGTGGGCAAAGTTTTTGTGGACATATCTTTGAGACAAAAAATCTCATGCTTGCTTGGCTGTATCAAATTTCCCAAGTTGCATGCTGATTGACGGTGTAACGGTGTTGGCAATCCATGTGAGAATTTTGTTGTTATTGATCTCCCAGTCAGCATATTTTGAATCATCTTTGCCAGGACACTTTGAATCACCACTAATGTACTTCCAAAGACCCCTTCCCTTGATAAAGCTTCTCATGAGAAAGGACCAGTGGTTGTAGTTGTGTCCATCTAGTCTAATAGTGATGGGTTGGGCAGATTCCAAGGCCATTAGATAATTGAAAAGGGATAGTGAATAGATCATATGTAAAGCAAGAGTTTCAAAGCTGTAGGGGACATCGAGATACAGGATAGGGAATAGCAGCAATGATACAAGAAAACGAGAAGAGCTAATCAGAGAAAAAGCTCTGATACCATGTTGAGAGAGACAAGATTTTCTGATTATAATGATTCAATATATTTACTTGGGTGAGAACCCATGTATATATACAAGCCTAAAGTTGACTAATTACATAGTTGAAACATAGCTCTAAATTACAGCATATAAAATAAGAGACTTAGTTGACTAATCATCTAAATTACAGGAGATGAAATAGGGAAATACATAATAGATGTGATTGACTTTAACAATAGTGAAGTGATACACTATGCAATGATCATATTTAAGGACTCGTTTGAGAGTAATTCTAATCATTTTTGGGGAGAAGCACCTCTCATTTAAGGGTAAGTTAGAGATATATGTCCCAAAACATAAGGTTGTATCTCATTAATTAGGTCGAACAAGTGCTGTTTTCAATTTAATTTTTTGTTATCTTTGGCTACAAGGGAGGCTAGGGAGAGTGGATAGGGCGTAGCGTGATGCTCTCAACCAATGTATTACAAATCTCGATAGTATGTTTTTATTCCGTATAAGGGTGTTGGCTAGTATGCAAACAATAAAAACCATTAAGAGTTCAAGAAATTATAAGCATGCCACCACCCATTTGAGAGAGAGAGAGAGAGAGAGAGAGAGAGAGAGAGATAGGTGTTTCATAACGAAGAAGGTCACTACTTGTGCTAGCATTGGTGTGCCTTTTCCCAACCTGTTTGTGAAACGTTCTCACACGAATTCTAATGATAGGCCCCCAGACAGTTGAAAAATGCTAGTGTGAGGAAGAAGAAGCTACCCAGCGTTTTTATTTATTTATAATTTATAAAAACATGCTTGCCAAAAAGGCGTCGTTTTGGCCCGGCTTTTATTATTTATTTTTTAAAACACGCTGGCCAAAACAAGGTCATTTTGGCCCAACAATTTTAAAAAAAAAATTATATATATAAATAAATAAAGACATGGCCAAAACAATGTCGTTTTGGTCCAAGTCTTTAAAAAAAAAAAAAAATTAAAACAGTTTCAAAACCCCTCCAACCTACCCCAGTGTCTCCAAAACCCCCATTCTTTTCTCCTCAACCCTAAATCCCCAATCTCCATCCCCCTCCCCCCCAAAAAAAAAAATCCTTTAAGCCCCAATTCCTCTATTGCCGCCCTTGTCAGCAGTGCTACTGCCGCCAAAAGCTTGCCTTCGCTTCCATCACCTCACAATTGAAGTAAATTCTAACTCTAAACCTAAATTACTTGAATTGAAATTGAATTTATGATTGTATTATATTGTTTTGATTTATTGGATGTTTCATTTATGAATTTTTTGTGGTTAATCGGTATAAATTTGGTGTTCACTTTAAATCATTTGAGTTATTATTTTGATTAATTTATGTAGAATTATGGAAAGATTTTTTAAGAGAAAGTCATCATTGGTTAGTCCAGATAATGTGGGTAGTTCAAGAACTTCAAGTTCAAGACAAAGTGAGTTAGACGAGGTTTTGGCTAATCTTTAGACAGACCCTGGACTAAGAATTCATATGATTGAGTATGATAGAATTCATATGATTGAGTGTGATACTAATATTAGAGATGAGAAGCATATCTACAAAAAGGACATTGTTAACCTAGAGTTTATTCTTTCCCACAAAGTAATATATCATGAATTAATCAACGCTTCATTCCCCAATGGTTTGATGAATTTGATTGGCTGGAGTATATTGTATTTAAAGATGCTGCATTTTGTCTTTATTTCTATCTCTTTAAATCCAATTTTGAACAAGTGGGTAGTGAAGCCTTCACTGGAGCAGGGTTTAAGAATTGGAAGAAAGGGAGAAAAAGAATGAAGGTGCATGTTAGACCAGTTGGTAGTGTTCATAATAAAGCTAGAGAAGCTGCTACAAATTTGATGAATCAAAATACACATATTGAAACGATTGTGAGCAAACACTCCGAACAGGCTCGTATGGCATATCGAAGATGCTTAATTGCATCAATCAAGTGCACTAAGTTCCTGTTGCGACAAGGTCTTTCTTTTCATGGAAATGATGAAAGTGCCACTTCAAGCAATATGAGAAATTACTTGGAGCTATTGCAATTCCTTGCAGACAATGATGAGAAAGTTAAAGAAGTTATGTTGGAAAATGTTCCAGGGATTCTCAAGTTAGTAGCTCCAAAGATTCAAAAAGATATTGTCAATGCATGTGCCTTTGAAACACTTGATGTTATCATGAGTGGTTTAAAAGATAGATTCTTTTCTAAATTGGTGGATGAAGCATGTGATGTTTTATTGAAAGAGCAAATGGCTATGGCGTTGCATTATGTGAACGACTAAGGGCATGTAATTAAAAGGTTTGTGGGGATTCAACATGACACTACTTCAAGTTCACTAAAGGATGCCATTGACACACATCCTTTTCTTCCAACAATTAAAGCCTTTCCAAGCTACGAGGACAAGGTTATGATGAAGCTAGCAATATGAAAGATGAGTTGAATGGCCTTAAAACAAAGATTTTGAGAGAACAACCATGTGCATATTATGTTCATTGTTTTGCTCATCAACTTCAACTAGTACTTGTTGCCGTGGCAAAGAAGAATATTGATATTGCCTCTTTCGTCACAACCACTAATAGTGTGGTTAACCATGTTGGAGTATCTTGTAAGCGGCGTGATGCACTTAGAGCGCAACTCCAAGAAGAGCTTGTGATAGCTTTTGACAATGATTGTCTCATAACAGGGCGAGGTTTGCATCAAGAAATAAGTCTCAAATGTTCCGGCGACACACGATGGAACACACATTACAGTACCATTATTAGCATATTCTATGTTTTCATCTGTGATTCATGTGCTTCAAATGATTATTGATGATAATCTCAATGATATGCCGATGAAGCAAATAAGATTCAAAGAGAAATGCTTACTTTTGAGTTTGTGTTTCACATATTCTTAATGAAAGCTATATTGGGACTCACAAATGATGCGTCACAAGCATTGCAAAAGAAAGATCAAGAAATTGTGAATGCAATGGCTTTAGTGAAATCATGCAAGGAAAAGCTACATTGGATGAGGAATAATGGGTTTGATGTATTGGTTGATGAGGTATCTTTATTTTGTGACATGGATGAGGCATTCATAGTTCCAGGGAGGTCAAGGTGTAATGTTCCAATAAAGACAAATCGTCATCATTGTCGTGTGGAGCTCTTTATTTATGTCATTGATGAGCAAATTACGGAGTTATATGATCGTTTTAATAAGGTAAATGATGAGTTTCTTATTTGTTTGGTATGTTTGAGTCTGAATGATTTATTCATAGCTTTTGATAAACAAAAGTTACTTTGTCTTGCTCAATTTTGCCCTCAAGATTTTTTGAATGGGGATCTTTTGGCACTTGAAGATCAACTTGACCTATCATGTTCGTTCAAGTAGTGATTTATCTGAATTGCAAGGGATTGCTGGTCTTGTAAAAACAATGGTGGAGACAAGGATGCATCAAGCATTCAATTATGTGTATTTGTTTATTACATTGGTTTTAGTTTTACATATTGCAATTGCTTAAGTCGAGGGCATTTTCCGTCATGAATATTATCAAGGGTCCACTTCGGAACAAATGGGAGATCAATGGTTGAGTGATAGCTTGCTTGTTTACATTGAGAATGATGTTTTTTTTTATTGTATTGAAAATGAAGCTATAATGCTACCTTTTCAAAATATGAAACCTCGTTGTGGACAGTTGTAATTTGTAATGTTGTTTTTGACATGAATTATGAATGAATGTACTATAGTTTCATTTTCAATGTTATTTTAATCTTTAAAAAAGAAAAATTGAACTTTTACACTATGACCCTATGAGATAAGATTCTTAGGTCCATTGCCCAAGACCTCTTCCAAAAGAACCATTTCACAAACCAAACAGGGCCTTAGTTTGAGTTGACAATTAGCTTCTTAAGGCCATCTCCAATGCAAGGGGCTAAACTCAAAATTTAGGATTTGAGCCCAAAAAACTCCACCAACGCACGTATAGGAACGGGCCAAATTATTACCTAGCTGAGTTTTGTGGCGGAATTTGGAACCTTTTTGTAGTCCGGGCAATAATTTTGTGGGGCCCGTTGCAACAACCCAAACTTTAAATAATTTTTAATTATTAATTTATTCAAGAAAAAGACTAAAATGCACTTTGGAATATTTTATTAGGATTAAAGTTGAATTTTTGACCAGGAAGGAATCTGAAAATTTTGATTGGACCGTTGCGCACAACACTTCGAAATGAGTCCGTAGACACGTAGTGGGCTCAAATCGGAGTTGTAACGAAGGAATGGTGATAAAAAATAGGCTAGTGGCATAATCGTAAATAACTCAAACTTGATTTTAGAAAAATCAGAATTTCCTCTCTCCTCCCCGCGCGACATTTTCCCTCTCTCTCCTCTCTCTCTCCCCGACGTCGTTCTCCCCCCTCTATCTCTTCAATTCTCCCAACCTCAACCACGGCAAGGGCCGGCATCGGTCACGATCGAACTGGCTCGACCTCGCCTTCTCGACCCACCCCTTTTTCGGGCTGAAAAACTTAAGAACCGCCGACAGTTTCGACTAGTTTGAACCGGTCTCCTCCCGCCATCGCGTCATCACAACCGCCGCCCAAATTCGATGGATCAGGTGAGGTTTCCTCCTCCATGCCCTAGCTGCCTGTTGTGTAGGATTGGAATGATTGTAAAGTTTTGAAATTCAATTTTGAACTTGGGTTTTGGCCCGGATTTCGAATTAAAATTCTGGCCACTTGCCGTCCAAATTGGACCTCCTCGTGGATGAATAAAATGCTCCACACACACACACACACACTCACTCACTCTCTCTCTCTCTCTCTCTCTCTCTCTCTCTCTCTCTCTCTCTCTTATGTAGGATTTTCTTTTGAATCAAATTGTTCTGTTGTATATTCTTGAATTAGTTGCTCTGATGAATTGCCTTAGGACTTTCTGTGTGGCCTGAGGCAGTTTAGTTGAGCAGAATTGTTTAGATGTAAATTGGAAGCATGCTGGCAGTTGAGATATTTATGTATATGCTTTGTTGACAGGTTGAAATTTTGGGAAATAATCAAATTACAGGGGAGGCTCTACTGAATTTTCAGAAGAAGTCGAACTTGTAATAAACTTTGAATTTTAATTAGAAGGGCAATTTAGTCATTCGTGCTCGGCACCCGCCAGGTGTCGGACACGCACAGGGTTCAACTCAGATTCCAAAGTGGAATTTGGGTTAGGTCATGTCACCCGTACTGTGAGAATCTTTTTCTTTTCTTTTTTTAATTTTAAAAAAAAACTATATATATTATTATGTTAAAGAAATATTCATACTACATATTTATGGTTTATTAAGATGACTTTTCCTTATTTAATATTTATTGTGGAGACCTATATGTTATTAAATTTTAAGTTAAGTATGAGATTATTCCTTTAGGTGAAAGATGACACCATTCTTGTTTTCCAAGTGTAGAGACTTGGAATTGGTCTTAATCAAATCATCATTGACATATGCCACCTTGCATGCTAGTAACAAGACTCAAACTGAACACATGATTAAATAATTGTGATTGATATTATATTTCTCTAAGAGGACGATATATATACAAGTACAAGTTGACTTTTCCTACAAAGAAAAGTAATTAGCTAATTACAAGGAATCCTAACTAGGTAATGATTCTAATTAGGTAACGTGAATTATACCAGGAAACCAGGGATCACGAGATCCTTGAATTATAGCTCACGTCAACACTCCTCCTCAAGTTGGTGCGTAGATATCTCCTATGCCCAACTTGTCAAGTGAGTCATGAAAAACCCTGCGTTAAGACATCTGTCAGTTGTTCTTTTGACTTTACAAATGGTATATCGATTAGCTTATCTACCATCTTCTCCTTAATATAATGCATATCCACTTCAACATGCTTAGTTCTGTCATGTTGAACTGGATTATTTGTTATCTCTTGTCACAGTAAAGCTCCATGACTTTCTTTGGTGCAAAACCAATTTTGGACAAAAGTACCACTAGCTAGAGAAGCTGACAAACTCTTTGTGCTATGCCCCTATATTCTGCCTCAATCGAGCCACTACATGTTGCTTCTTACTTCACCATGTAACCAAATTGCTCCCAATGAAAGTGAAGTAACCTAATGTAAAATGTTTATCTGTTATATTGCTTGTACAATATGCAGCTTTCTTCAAATAACTCAAAGTCCTCATACTTAAAGGGTGCTCTTCTGCATCTCTCTTAAGATGCTTTGAATGTTGTCATGTGTCTCCCTTAAGATGCTTTGGACGCTACCTTGCATCTCACTTAAGACACTTTGGACGGTTGACTTGCATCTCCCTTAGGACGTTTTGGTTGTTGTCCATATGTCTCCCTAAAGACAATTTGGTTGTTGTCCTGTGTCTCCCTTAAGACACTTTGGACGTTGGCATGCGTATCCCTTAGGACGCTTTGGACGTTGGTCTGCATCTCCCTTAGGACGCTTTGGATCTTCTCTCGTACACTTTATTGAATGAAAACTCAAACTTGTATTGATGTTTATGTGATTACATTGCTTTACTGCATGGAAATAAATGAATGAACAACTTTTAAAAAAAAAACATCTGAAGTAGCTTTTCCTTCAACTAAGGTGAAGAAGGCTAGGTCACGTGCAGGAATCCAAGCTGGTAAGCGGAAGCTTCACGGATAGTATATTTGGAGGTGATGGGCATTCCACTATCTCAGAACTTCCTTTCCCACCAGGGTACTAAGTGTATCACTTCCTCTGCCTCCAAATCGGCTGATCAGATAAGGGTCTTCTCAACTGGGTTTCATCTTCTTCAACCCTTGCTTTTATGCTGAAATGAAGGCTTTTCTAAGCACAAGGTCCCTAGGTTGGAATTTTATGACTTTGGCTCTCTTGTTGTAGTAGGACATCAACTGCTGCTTATAAGTTGCAACTCGAACAATGGCTTTTTCACATTCTTCCTCAGGCAGGTTAAGGTTGAACTTCATCTGGTCACAATTATGATCAATGTTACTCACCTCGATACTTTTGGATGGAACAATGATATGAGGGAGAATATTCGCGAGAGATTCTTACACCTTTTGAGCTTCCTTCTTTTTCTTCTTCCTCGGTTCCTATAAAATATATTGGAGTCAATAAACCACATTGAGGGGTGTTGACCAAAGCTCCTCCAATGCCTAAATCAGTTAGATAATCTTTAGGAAGATACGAAAATAACGGAAAGGTCATAGTTTTCTCTCTCGAGGAAAGTCGGGTGGCCAGAGCCGTGTATGTGGTGGAGCGTGGCCGTGAAAGAGAGAGAGGAGAGAGAGTGGCGTGAGAAAGAGAAAGGAATTTATATATTGTTGTTGTTATTTATTTATTAAATTAAATAAATTATGAAGTAATGAATGTTGTTCATCCGACAATACGTGCCCCATTTCTCACTCTTTCAGGCAATGAGCCATGCATGAGTATAAACAGAAGAAAGTAAGGCCATTTCCAGTAATGGACCATAGGCCAAATATAGCCTTAAAATAATGAAAAACCCATCTCCAATCATGGGCTAAAAAAAAAATTTGGCCAAATTCGAAGGGCCACATTTTGCCCTTTAGCCCTCCAATCCGGCCACTTGTAGCCCAACTTTGGCGTAGGTCAAATTTTATTGTGGGCCCAACGCATATGCTTTCCTTGAAGAGAAAGTATCATGCGTGGGCAAGAGTACGAAACATCTCGTGTACCTACAAATCTAACAACCAATATTAAAGGCGTACGGACGTCATCGATGACGTCAGCTAGCAATTAGGTTTTTTTTTATTTTTTATTTTTATAACTTTTAAAATGTTTTTAAATTCGTTTGTTTTTATAACATTTATATATTGTATATATTTTTTTTCATTATTATTTAAAACCTTTTTAAATATTTTAAATTCGTTTTGTTTAAAAAGAATATATATATATATATATATAATTAGTTATGACCATTGGAGGTTAGAACCATTAAAATACTGCCAGTATTTTTTTTAAAATTTTTCATTATTATTATTTTTTTAAAATTTTAAATATGTCTATAAATATCTCAAAAAATTTCTCACTCATTTCATTCCACATTTCTTACAGCTTCAGTCCCTTGCGTAATTTTATCAATAGGGTATAGCTTAGAGGTTTGAAATCCCAAATATTCAATGAATATTTGTATACAATAATGCTATGGGCACCACCTTATTTACCAATTTTAGTGATACCAACTTACGTAGCAGATGACATGGCAACTTGTGTCAACTACCACATCATCTTTTTTTGATTACTCATATTTTGTCCTAATTATTTAGTATACAATTAAAAGTAAAAACTTAAACCATTTATAGAAAAAAGTAAAAAAACCAAATAAACCCTTGCCAATCCCCAGTTCTGTCATGGCCTATGCGATTACCATTGAGATCCAAACCCACATATATGAAGTGTGAAAATTTTTGGATTTGTTTTCTTTCTCAGTGGATATCATTTTCCCCAGTCTTAAAATGCACTACTACGTTTCACTATTTGCGCGACGAAATATTGCGCGACGAAGCACAACTCGTCGCGCAAACAATACTTGCGCGACGAAAATCTATATTCGTCGCGCAATCC